TGATTTAAGACAATTGATTTGTAATAAATATTTATAAAAGGTAAGATTATTTTATATTTATAAGATAATAAATATACTTAATTTAGTCAAAATAATTTTTTTTAAATAAATCAAATTTATATAAAATTAAATCAAAATAATTAAATAAAATAGACATGAAGATTTTTCAAGATTATCCACATGTCATTAACTAGTTTCACTGTTAAAATAGTTAATTTTACCTTCATTATTGTTTTTAATTTCAACGGAACCAATTCATCACCCCCCCAAATGGATCCTTAATCAATAGCATATGAAAAGCTGGTGTAAAGACTGGTTTGGCTTACATGTTAATTAAGTATAGAACAAATTGGCCAGATATATCTCACAGTCATGGCGGTTAACGTAGGCCAGCTACCCAGTTGACGACCCTGCACGGTGGGCGTCGACGACTCCTCCGGCAACACCATCTACAAAAGATTCAAAGATTTGCTTGTCTACTGGGTTGTAGAAATGAAATTCACCATCTTTTCATTATACGCACCGCCGACAGGCTCAATAGGTTCAGAGGAAGCACCAAAAAATGGAGATGATTTTGCCACCGAAGGTGATGATAGCATCAACAGTTCAATTTTTATCTTAAGTCCAGCATGAACTAAAAATAAAACTTGATTGAGATCAAATGAAATTTCCAGTTATAAATTTTATATCGAATTTAAATTCGTATTTTATCTATTTCAATTCGGCCCTATTACTCTTCTTTTCAATTAGTGTCTTAATCGGTAGCATAAGAAAAGATTTGCCTTTTATACATATAAAATTAATTAATTAATTATAGAAAAAACTACCCTTTGGGAATTGAGAGATGATATTGTATTATATTCCATGAAAGATTTTCCATAATCAAATGAAAGTAACGGATAAAATTCCTTTGTAAGAAGCTAAAACTATATAACAGGGAAAAATCATCTGAATGGCTGCAAAAATGTGTTGTGTTAAGATAAGAAAGATAGAACAAACTACAAACTAAAAAGGATGAAGCTTTGTTCGATATCTTCTCTTTCAAATGGAAATAGATATCTGCTCCAATCATTTTTTGAGCACCTGGTCCCAAGCTTCAAGCATAAAAAATAAAGTCTCAATTTTTTTTTTATCTTTCATAAAAAAATTATTGTCGCCATTTATTAATTTCTAGGAATGTACAAACAAAAATGTTAAATGTTTGTTTAATAATTATATTAATTTATTAATTATGATCCAACGCATAATATAATCTTATAAATTGGTATAAAAATTTTATAAAAAGTTACCAGTGCATCTACATAATTTGTAATCCATTAATTCATGCCAAAAAAAAAAAAAAGGGTTGTATTTTGCTCGTCCATCAATTCAACAGAAAAGGTTGGTGACATGAAGTGATATTCTCACGAGCCTATCTTCTTGCACTCACTTTACTATAAAGTTTTGTAGTCATCTTTTTTTCAAAGTTTATGTTATGCGTCTTTTCTTTGACTTATGCAAACAACAAAAGTCAACATATCTTTAGTCAATTGACAACAACTGAAAATGATTGTCAAAAATTAAGAATATTGTACCGAAAAAATTATTTAGACATTAAATTTCCAATGAATTATGATTCTAATCACTCCATAATCATGATATTGCACAATGCACATTGATCATATATAATTAATTTAAAATTTATCTTGGATAAATATTAAGAAAGTTTATTAATGAGTTTTCAGTTTTGTTTTCAATCTCGTGATCTTAATTTCATTTTCAAATTGGAATAATATCAAGATTAATTTTTAATGATTGGTAAATCCCTTTAATATAATTAGGATGATTATGAGTTTATCAAATGCATTTATTCTCTTGAAAAAGGTATATGAAGCAATTTCTTGGAGGAATATATACACTCCAAAATTCGAAGTTGGCTCCCAAGAGACAAATTGGATAGCCAAAATTTAGAACAAAGTTACAACCTAACAAGATACGAAAGAACTAATTGGATAGAGATGAAAGGATTCCAACTAGGAGAATGAGATGAGGAATCCATGAGATAAGGAATCCCTTTTGTCAATTTGAAATGTGGAAAAGGTAAGGGTAAATGTGAAGAATAAGAAACCCTTAAACAAAGGCCACAAAGAAGGAATGAGATGCAAAGATTAAAGAGAAAAAAGTAAAACATTAAAAAAGAAAAGGGCATGCAAAGTCACAGTCTCGTAGGTCTTTTATTCCTTTAGCAATGTTAAACTTTTTATAATTGGGACGTGGGAATCTAAATAAGTGGATAGGAATAACGAACCAAATATATATACAAGAAGAAGACACAATATACAAATAGAAGTTATTAGGAGATGTAATATAGAATTTCTTTTTAAAAGATGATAAAAAAAAAAAAAGAGACCATTTACATGTATGCATTATGCATTTGACTATAAATTGACTAGGTGGAAACATCATGCATGCATGCATGCACTTGTTAAGAACTTAAGTTAATATGAAAATTAAAAAATGGTAGTATTATTTTAATTTAATCATGGTTAATACTTGTCATTTGAAATATATGATAAAAATATATGAATATATATATTTTTTAATTTGGAAAAAAGAGATTTAAATTCAACTTTTTTGAATTTGAGGATACATCTATCTATATATAAGTGCTAGATATATGTAATTTTATATAAATTAATATATAAAAATCAAAACTTTTGACAAAAAAAAAGTCTAATGTGGATGGTCTATAATATTAACATGTGGATAACCTTTATCAATCGTCACATATCTTGTATTAATTATATTTATTCATTTTTTAAAAATTGATATAAATTGATTTGATTTGATAAAAATTTTTAAAAATTTTAAAATATTAATTATATTTATTTTCTTTCAAATTTTCAATTGACTTATCTTTTATTTTCAATAAAATATCCTAAATTATAAATCAAAACTAAATCAATGATATATTATAATAAAAAATTTCTTAATGATTCAAAAAATTAATAAATACTATAATTATGGTTATTAAACATTTTTTTATTGTCTTACCTTTCATTTCTAATAAAAGTCTAATTAGTTGGAAATATAGTTTCATATTTCTTTCTATATAAGTATTAATAACAATTGGTATAATTTATTATCTTATAAGAATTTTTCAAAATTTTAAATGTAGTTTTTTTAAAATAAAAGATATATTACATAAATAATTAATAATGCATTATAATTTTTTATATAAATTACTCTCAATTTATAAAACTTTTTCAAATTCTTATTATAAATAGAGAATCCTGTATACTAAGAGTATTAAGAGATTACTCTTCAAAAGCCTCCAAATGTATTGATTTCATTATAATCAAGAAAATTTTGATCACCAAGTTACATTTTTTTTTTATATTCATAACCTTTTTTTGTCATATTTGTCAGGGGATTTTATTTCTCTTTTATTCATTTTTTATGCATGTTTATACTCCATTTATCCTTTCATTTTCAATATTAGTTTTTTTTTTTTTTTTTTACTTTTGAATGGAATAATTTCATGTGTTTTATCTCTTTTAGTTTTAATCATAGGAGATTTTGTCATATTTTTCTTCATGACTAATAATGGATATAAATAAGGTTAGATTTTTTTAGTTAAGTTTGGAGTTTGCTAAAATTTGACACAAGTTTTTCTCTCCTATTTACTTTTTATTAACAATTTTATCCATATTTAATATGTAATATGTAGTTTCAATCCCATTAATAAAAAAAATGCAAATTTAATTTGAATTATTTTGATTTTTATGAATATAATGCAAAGATGAGCACCACCTAGTCAAAGGTTTGCTATTGTTATTGTGAGTTCTAAATGTCTTACACCAAAGTAAGGGACAACACCAAGTAAAATTTTTTACAAAAAATTGATTTTAAGTAAAATAGATTTCTATCTTTGAAATCAAATATTATTTAATTTTGTATAAATATCACTATTAGATGAATTATGATACAAAGCATTTTTCTTTATATTATATAGGTACATATTGAATAGTAATATTTTAATTTTTTATTTTCTTATATAAAATTTATTAATTATATTATATATAATTTAATTATATATAAATAATTACATATCTGTATATTACACGAGCTTAAAATTAATTCTCTTAAATTTTTTGATATATATATATATATGTGTGTGTGCGTGTAATATGAAAAATTGACTTAATTAATTAATGATCTTGATTTCATTTTACTCTTTATAGAGTCTGTTTCTATACTTTATCACATTAACTCTTTTGTGATGTCATTATCGTCATAAAGTCTGAGCGTGAGCGGAGCTTTGATGTATCATTTATATCCCTTGAACATTTACAGTGGGTTAGACATTATTGTTCCCAATTTGCCCAATGGGCATCCTTCGTTTAAGTATTTGAGATTGTAATTTGAAAATTTAGCATCCAATTAAAAAAATGAGGGAGATGTATTTATATGAGACGAAAAAAAATATTTTCCTCAAAATAATATGTAAAAAAAAAAAAAGTGAAGCCATCAAACTATTGAACCGATCGTATCCGGATCGATTATATTCCCAAGGAGCTAAGCAAGTCAAAAGAAGATTTTTTCTTGCTGACAGGGCAAAACGTTTGAACTTAGTCATGTAAAAATTGAATTATAATTAGGGTATTTCCGTCATTTAATCAAACTTCCACAACTAGCCAATGGCAATGGGCTTCATTGTGGTCACGTCAAAAACGACATCGCTAGCTTATATCGTCTTCTCAGTTCCTGAAGCAGCTTTAACTCATCGCACAAAGTGCCACGTGCCCTTTCGAAGATCGAGTGGTTCTCCTTAGATCCAGCACAAAACAGTTAATAGCCAGCTTTAGATCTCTCCTCCACGTCATCTCATCCAATCCCACGTGGTTTGTTGACGTGGCGTAACTTGACGCCTTCACTTGGGCCATGTCATCGAAACGTTAGCTCACATAATGTCTTCTATGCGACGTATCGTTCTTTCTCATACAGCCTTTTGCCTAGCCGTTTCTCAACGAGTCAAGCCAGTTTCTATTTCAGAATCGTCTTTTAAAATTTTCCGTCTTTCATCTTTTATTATATCTTATTTTTATAGAACCCTGAATTTTAGTTTGTTTTGCCTCGAATAATTGACAAACTTTCCAGAGCATTGCCATTTTTTCCTCTGAATTTTTCATGTTTTGAAGTTTTTGAAATTTTCGACCTGTGGGAGAATGGGATGAGGATCGACTTGATTTGATTTTCAAAAGGTAAATAATTATAGCTTTATTTTTCTTTTTTTTAAACTTTTTTTTCAAGAATTTTCGCAGTTTAATTGTTTCAACATTTTTTTTCGTTGGAAAACTTTTTATTTTATTTTATTTTTATTTCTTCCCTTTGAAACTCGGAATTTTGAAGTTCGAATGTTGGTTTATGTTGTAACTATTTATTTAATCTCAGAATCGTACTTTTTTTAATTTCTTTTCTTTTATGTTCTTCAAAACTCGAAAGTTGGTTCTTTTCTTTTTCCAATGGAAAATGAGAATATAGCTTTACTAAAACATCCTTTTTTTTTTGGAGAAAAAAGAAGCAAAATAGAGAAGCATTTCTTTGAACAAAAATGTGATTAAATAAGTCAAAACAATCGGACTCGGTTTACTTTTGGATGTCTCAGCAAGATTTCTTCTTTTATTTTTTCATTTAATTTGAGTTATCCCCTCCTTTTTTTGTTCTTGTTCTCATAGAAAATTGATGCTCTGTTCAACTTCACCGCTGCAAAATTTGAGAATTCTGCTGTGTTACGATGCTTGGACTGTACGAAATTTGGGAAGAAAATCTCATAGATCGAATTTTTGAAGTCTGTTTTAAGTTGATTACTTGAATTCACCATATGCAGAATTTAAATTTCTAATTCATTTTCTTTTCCTGTTTATAATTTCAGTTCGTAACCGTTTCTGGATTCCTTTAAATTTCTTTTAACTTGCTAAATATTATGAAATAGTTAATTCTAATTGCTAAGTTTGAGTCTTTAATTTTAATGTAATTTATGCTCTCAGAAGAACAAAACTTACTGGTTTCTTGAATCAAATGCTCATTTTAAGTGTTTGAGCATTTAAATTTTATTTGACATGTCTCAAAAACATGAACATGTTGTTTATATTCATATCTTTATCATACCTTTTGATTTTTAATTTTTGCATTTCTCATAGAAAAAAATTGCTTGTGGTTTATGATAGGTCGGTTAGTTTTCTTCAAAATTTCTAATTTAGTTATCTGAAACTAATAATATGAATTTCTATGCCATGAAAATAGAAATAGCGGTATAACCTAGCTTAGGCTTCTTTCGTATTGAATATAACAGTTTCTTATGTGATATTGAAAACATGAACACGTATTTAGATGTGTGTCCTTTTTTATGAGTTAAATAGATCTGAGTTTTGTGGGGTTTATGCATATTTGGCAGTAAGAAGAGGACTAAGTGTTATGTACAAGTTTCTGTATGATTGTTATATGTGTGTTACATCTTATATGAAATCTTATATATGTTCTCTTCCATAGGATTTCTTGAAGGTCAGACAATGGGATGTGCAAACTCTTTCGTGGAATAAAGGAACCCACTCAATCTGGTGCCATTCTTATTATTGTTGTTTTTTAATCTGGTTGATGGGGATAGTTCAAATGAATAATAATGGTCCCGTGAACAATGGATTGGTTGAATTGAATACACTTATGCATGATGAGCATAAACAAATAAGGGATGGGGTTACGGGTCAGGGGCAAGGCCTCTCAGAGGAAGACGAGTCACGGATTAATGATTATGTTGAAGACAACGATGATGGGAACGCGGAGGTGGTTAAGCTTCAGGTCCAAATGCGAAGTGTCCAGCAGAGGTCACAACAACAGTCTCGGGGTCCTCTGGTTTGCTGGGAGAGGTTTTTACCTCCAAGGTCTTTGAAGGTTCTATTGGTGGAAAATGATGACCCAACTTGCTATGTCGTCTGTGCATTGCTGCAAAACTGTGGTTATGAAGGTCAGTTAATATTTCTTGATACAAAATTTCTCTTTTTGCAATCTGAAATTAAAATATTGGATATGCTAGTGAAACTCAAACTAGCAACATAAGTACCTGAAGATAGGACTATTTTAGAATCTTATTTGCATACAGGTTCTCAATCCATGTAGTGGGAAAAGACTTACTTTATTATTGCTATTTGCATAAGGGAAACTTATGGTGGATAGGCTTTTTTATTATTGAGTGCAAAATTTTTATATTAACAGTTTCTTTTAACTTAAAAGCTTTATCTGGTAATATAAATATGGATTTTCTTCTTGGTAATGTGAATATAACAGTCGTCCACCCCCTGAAGTCTAGTGGCCCCAAATGCAGCTGGACTTGATATAAGGCTGATAGCCTGAATTGCTTGGTGGTGGCCAGGCAGACTTCAGTCCACTCATCCTCTTGCTCATTCAGCCTTCTGGAGTACTCTGCACGTTCTCCCTCCAGCTCTGCCTCAAACTTTGCCAGCTGCTCCTACAGTTGTAGGGTGTGCACCAAGGTCTGATCCCTCTCTACCTGCGCCTTATTGGTGTGTGCAGTGGCCACTACCTGCTCATTCTGCAACTTATTCCTTTCTCCTTCCACCTCTTTTAGGCGGGCGCTGGTCCCATCTAGCAGCAGCTGCAAAGCAAGGTTTATGCCAGTAGTATCCCTTAACTGGCTTTCCAACTCCTCGATATTCTTCAGATGGAAGCCATTCAGAGTCTTCAACCCTTCAATGGAGGCCTCCCTCTCCTTTATTAACACCTCTTGGTCAGACCTCCTCTTGGCCTCCATTTGTAGGTCCTTCCTCTTGGGGTGTAACTCATCCAACAGTAGCCTCACCTGCTCATAGAGACCCATCTTATTTGCCAAAGTGTGCAAGAACACAAGTCACATCACTCTATCAATTCTACACAACAAGATACAAACACAATACACCAACACCACCATCCATTAGTTGCCTCAGCAGCCAAGCATAATTCAGCCTGCAGGTTGCTGAGTATTGGAAACTTTCCCAACATCAACTTGTCAAATGTTTCTTTTTTAACATCTGCTTAAAAGTAAGGTCCATGTAGTTTAGCACCTTGGCTAATTCTTTAGGTACGGTAGAGCAACAAGGTTGGAATTGTTTCAAAAGCTAATATCTAAAGTTAATATGGTGAAAATGTTGGAAAATAATATGGTCATTTGAGATTAATATTGGATAAAAGAAACCGAGATTTTGTAAGCTGTTTGAGGGCTTCATAATTCTTGTTGAACAGTGCTGATGAAAGGTAGGTTAAAATTTGATGCCTCATTGGTGTGCTTTTGTTAGGATTTGAAAAGGTCTTATCTAGGCTTCAAAGTGAATAAGAAAAGGTTTCTGGCTTAAAATAGTGCTTAAGATACAAAGATGGTGTAGGCTTCACAGCTAGATTTCCTTTGGAATGGCACCTAAGGGTCCCACAGGCTTCAAACCTAGGTTAGGGTGGTTCTCTTTACAATCCCCATGAAACTAAATTAACCTGAAGTTTCTGGACTAGAGGAAAGACTCAAAATAACACTGAGTGTCATTTTTCACAGGATGGAAGTGCTTTATTTATTTATTTTTTTATATAAAATGAGGGCTTGTAAAAATTTGTTATGCCCCATTAGCATGAAGATTTTCGTTTCACAACATAGGCTTCTAAACTAAAAGGAATAAGATGAGGCTTTAGCAAAAACGTAAATGATGTCAATCTGTTCATTGGAAAACTTTATTTCAATTTGGTGGTTAATTTTTATTGTTGATACTTTCTTAATTTACCTAAGCTGCTTTCTCAATTTTTTTTTGACTGATGGTCTTGAGAGAGTGGTATGATGTCTCATTGAGGTTGTGACTGGTCATCAAGTTTGTTCTATATTGCATTTCTTTTCAATGTAAGTAGCTTTCTTGATTGATATGTATATGATTGCTTTATCTAGAAAATATCTTGTATGCACCATTTATGGATGTCCATTTTTTTCTTAATTTTTTTTGTTACTTATGACCCTAAGATCCTTTTTTCTTTTTGTTTTCAATCTTAGCAGTTACTGCAGTGTCAAACAGTCTGCAAGCTTGGAAGATCTTGGAAGCTCTAACCAGTCATATTGATCTTGTTTTAACTGAGTTAGTCATGCCTTGTTTGTCAGGCATTGGCCTTTTAAGCAAGATAATGAGCCACAAAACTTGCAAGAATATTCCAGTGATTAGTGAGTATATTTCCTTTATTTTTACTCCCCTTTTTAAAATAATGCAATTTTATTCCTATTTTTTTAACAAATTGATACTTTTAACTGCTACACCTGTGAGTTTTGTGTGCAGTGATGTCATCTCATGATTCTATGAGTATAGTCTTTAAGTGTTTGTCCAAGGGTGCAGTTGACTTTTTAGTGAAGCCTATTCGAAAGAATGAGCTTAAAAATCTTTGGCAGCATGTTTGGAGGAAATGCCACAGCGTGTGTTGCTATAGTTATCCCACTTTATGTATGAAACTATATGGACCAATTTTGGACTCTAAACTTCAGGTCTGTCCTTAAATATGCCTTTGGTTTTTCTGACAATTGTTGAGCTACTTGAATGAAAAGAAAAGTGTTCACTTTGCCAAGTTTTCTTTACCATTGAAATTTTGGAATGTTTATGAAATATTTTTGCTTTTATGTTTTCATTGTCATTACCAGTTCCTTGACATAAGACAGCAGAAAAGTGCAAATTTTTTTCTCTTCAGTTTTTCATTTACTGTTCATCCTTTCATCAGCCTAGCAGTAGTGAAAGTGAAAGTGGTATATGGACTCAGAAATCCACAAAATCAAAAAGTGTTGATTCAGACAATGATACTGGAAGTAATGATGAGGATGACATTGGAAGTGGTGGTTTGAATGTTGGGGATGGAAGTGACAACGGAAGTGACACTCAGGTTAAGTTATACTTCATTATAGAATCATTATTTTATTCTTTCTATTTTTATCAGTCTGATGTACATTGAGACTATGTTTGCTTCTACTTGGCTTTCAAATATTTGATTGGTTTGCTATTTCCTTAATGCTTTTATAAGGCTTGTGGTATCCTATGTTTTCTCTATTTACTAACAATTAGTATCAAAAGAAATGACAGAATCATTCTTCTATTTTAAGCATTAAAATAATTATTATGAAATTTCAAAATTAATCATCAAATATAGGAATTGATTTGAATTTAATGATAGGTTTTATAATAATCATGTAGACTTTTCTCAGCCTATTATATGTAAGCTTTTGTTTCTCTTGAGCTTGTTCCATCTTCCTTTGCTTTTATTATGAATGCAGATACCCTTTGCATAGAGCTCTCAAAATAATGCATACAAAAAGGAAGGTGATGCATGTTATACCACATCTTATTAACTTGGTTAAGTTCATTGATGCACACTCTAATGAATTGTAAAATTAACTTAGTTTTATACGTAATGGTGTGGCACTTATAAATTTGATTCAGTATCTAAACAATCTTTTTTTAGTTTCCACTAAAATTATATCATGCTAATCTCCTGAGCAATTTCATTTAAAAGAATAAATCATTGGGGTGACCTTGCAGTATGGGCATAGTGTATAATGCTAGAAAAAACACTCACATTGTTTTGGACAGTTGAAAGGCATTCACTCTAGCATGTATGATATAAGAAGGTTGAGATACCCCTAAAGCAAATTTCTTTCACATGATTAGGGCAGATGTTGTATTTGGTAGCTCGAGGAATTATTGTAGTGTCTTGGTTTCTAAGTAATAGAGTCGCTTCCATTTTTTTCTAAACAAATAAAAGATTTATCTGTGTATGTATGAGCTGATGCATTTCCCAACTTATCTTACTTCAAAAGAAAACATTGTTTTGGCATACGTACACTTAAACGGTAAGGTTATAAACAAATTAGTCATGTTTTCCTCTATATTGATTGATGACATATTAGATGAAGTGTAACAGATACTTTCAAGTAGATTTAAACAGCAACTACTTCCATATTCAAATACGATGTGTTTTCTGGAAGATAGCCAACATTCTTATACAAATGATTAGTTATATCTTTTGGCCTATTTGAAAAATATTAGTAAATTTGTGCATAGTTCATATTCTCAAGCCATATACTAAAAAGTAGGTTATTTTTTACCTTGTTTTTTATGGTCTTATGTGGATGGTTGCTTTTAGCAGTTCTATTTTGTGCATCTTTAAAAATGTTGTGAATGAGAGATTGTACCATAACCTTCATAAGAGTAAATTTTGTAAAAAAAAAGCTGCTTTTCTAGATTTATGTGGGGTCATTGAATGATATTTTATATTAAATTAGAACTTTCATGGATTAGCCTATTTTTCAATTGCAATTTATTGGCTTTTCTTTTTTCAAAGAACTGAGGTTGAAGAGGCTTCAATTGAGGGAAGAAAATTTTTTATTATTTAAAATAAAAGAGTAGGCTACATAGATAATCGAAAACTTTGGCCTCCTTCCATGCAACACTTAAGACTCTTAAATTCTCTCTAAAGTCAACTGACAACCATTATCTAAAAGTTCACCGCCACTGATGCAATGCTTACTGGAGAACTATAGCATTTTCTTACTGTAGCCAACTATCAGCTTGTCGGAATAATTGAGAGTTTACCGTATGTGTTAGGCTTGCTTTTCATTGTGAATGGATCTATAACTCTCCAACCCCCTTCAACCCTGCTCCCAAACCCCCTATGTGTTTGGCCATTTAATTGATACAGGCTGTTAGCTAATAAACACCATTAATGAGACAAGATGATAGGGTATAGTGCATCATTTTTTCTTGAATTAATACATATCAACCAAAGCTAGTATTCAACTTTAATTTAATTGATTGCTTGACCCCATACATTTTCCAAGAACTATCTATTTTTACATATTTACAAGATCTTGAACTGTGCATTTCTTCATGCTTTCTCTTATGGATCACACTTTCAATTACTTTTCAGATAGTTTTTGATTAAACCTAGGTGAACTGATCTTATAGAGAGCTAAACTTGACGGTGGGATGTCTATGTATATTGACACCTCAAATCATTTCTTTCATGCATTAACCTATTCAATGAAGAGAAAAGCTATCAATGTTTCTAGCTTTTTCTATATTTGTTTCCCTTTTCTTTTCTTTTGAGGTTTTATAAAAGGGTAAATTTCATCCAAGTTCTTTTGTTTTAAGCATGATTTAACGCAAACTCATTAATTTGAAAAATGGACAACCCACAACATTCTGTTAAGCAATTACAAAACTACCCCTCCAAATTTATTGTATTTACATATATTATTCTTTATTTTATATGTTGAATATATAATAACAAAAATTATTTGTATTTCAACATTACAACTTTTTAATTTGGGTTTACTTATTATAAATGATTTTTAATTTAAAATGAATTAGTTTGTCATCACTATATTTTCGCAAACATGTAGATTTAAATTTATGATATATACGAGTATTATAATAACCAAAACCAAATTGACAAATATTCATTTGTGATCATTTTCCTTTTTTTTCAACCAATCTTTTTCATATTATATCCCTCATTTTTTTTTAAATTGTTACATGCTAAAATAATATTACATGCTTAATAAATTCATTTTATTTTACATATATTTATATAAAGAATACTTATATTGTAAGTTTTATTTTTATATGTTGTATCTAAATTTTTTATTATCAGTAGATTTGATATGTTTTGAGAAAAAATTAAAAAAAAATATTATAAATATTACATTATACGACCTTTGAGGATATTGACTTTTTAAGGGTAAAATAGTCTTTAAATGAGATTTTTAACATAGAAAGACCTAATTGTCCTGTGAAAGTAAAAATTTGAGGTAGGCTATCTATTTTCCAAATTAATGGACTTGTGTTGAATTATGTTCAAAACTCAAGGACCTAAGTGGAATTTAGACTTTATAAATCCATTCTTTCATGGTTAGACCACTATACTTCAGTAACCATAATGCTAGTTACTCCTCTTATATTGCCCTTAGCATCAAAAGGAACCTTATCTTTATAAGCTTTATGGTAAATTTAAAAGACACGTTGATGTCTTGATCGAAATATAGCTTGTTATCCATTTAGGTTGCTGTTTAGATCAAGCTTCTCAACCAGCATGATAACTCAAAAATCTGTAGAACTTGTCCTAGCCAAACAATTTGGCACACAGTCACACTCACATTTTCCTAGTTTGAAATTTGTTCTGCCTCTAATCAGATGAATGCTTGTGTGTTTGGATGTGCCAATCATTTTAGACATGGGGCCAATTACTAAAGCTTTGTTAGAGTATAAGAACACAATTTAAGGTTATAGACATGGATTTTGATTTTTGCATGCATAGCTTACCAAATTGTTTCAGATAACACTCTTTCTCTAAACATGTGATTGTTGGAACATGTAATGAATTCAAGTTATAAAAAGGTTTCAGTGTATGATACTGAAAGGTAGATGACATGTTCACTGATGCAACTAAGGACATATTTATGGCCAAAACCCTTAAATCCATTGTCAATTTGGAATTTCTGGATGCATTAAATTCTTTCTTTGCAAAGCTCATGGACAAAGAGAGCAGTAGAGGTTAAAAGCTCCCAGCCAATATCACAATGAGGTCAGTTAGTTAATCCTCCTGATATCACTTGTGTTCAGGTTATCCATTGCAGGCCTAAAGAGTTAGGTAACAGCTGGATTCCTGTTACAGCGGCAAGGGAGTGTGATGGGCAGGATGATGAACTTGGTATGGCAGAACTATTCATTATTTACTTCTGCAATCTGTCTGATTGTTGTTGTTGTCTCTGTTTTATTAAATTGTGATGCATCTCAGTGCCAGACAATGTTGTTATGGGCAATGACTTGGAGATAGGGATACCTAAAATTACAGCTTTGCAGCTTGCAAACCCAAGTGAAAAGGTACTGACCAACATAGCAGGTGCTAGTAAAGACAAATTATCAGAAATAATCCCTATGAACGATGAGAAATTAGAGAAAACGCAATTGGAGCTTAATAGTGAGAAACCCGGTGGTGACTTGAGAAACCAAGCTACTGGCCTGATAGGTCTCATCACCGATAACACTGATGCTCGGATAGAAAGTGCGTTCTTTGACATCCCAAATGGTCTCCCGAAGGTCTCTGATGCAAAAGATAAGGTTATCTACGAAACCAAGGAAATACCTTCTCTTGAGCTCAGTTTAAACAGACAGAGATATATTGGAGATACTGGAACAAGTTCCCTTGAACGAAATGTATTAAGACATTCAGACCTTTCAGCCTTCTCAAGGTATTTGGAAACTGTGGCTTCTAATGTTAAATATCCCCATTTTATAGTCTGGTAATTTTCATTTTCATGCAGATACAATTCTGGTTCAATTGCTAACCAGGCTCCAACAGGATATATTGGTAGTTGTTCTCCACTTGATAATAGCTCAGTAGCAGCTAAAACAGCTTATATAAAGAATTTTCAATCTAACTTTAATAGCGTGCCTCCAAAGCAACAATCCAATGGAAGTAGTAACAATAATGACATGGATTCCACCACTAATAATGCCTTCAGTAAACCAGCGGTACTCAGTGACAAGCAAGCACCTAACACTTCAGTCAAATCTTTTCATCTCTCTTCAGCCTTCCGATCAGTGCAGAATGGCCATGCTTCTGCCCCACAGCCTCTAGCACAAGGTAAGGATGATCCTGTACTTGGTAACATGACTTTTGTTCAAGCAAGGGGCACAGACCAACAGGTGCAAGTGCAGCATCACCATCACCGTCACCACCACCACCATGTCCATAACATGGCCCAAAATAAAAAATTAGGTAAACAAGATGATTTATCTTTGGAAAATATGGCAGCAGCAGCTCTCCAGTGCGGGTCATCCAATGTGCCAGGTGCACGAGATGTTGAAGGCCATGCTGGTAACAATAGTTTGAATAGAAGTGCATCAGGAAGTAACCATGGAAGTAATGGACAGATTGGGAGAAGCACTGCATTAAATACCAGAGTAATGAATGTTGAAAGTGAAACCGGGGTGACTGGGAAAGGTGGAGTTGTTTGTGGAATTGGATTCGGAAGCGGGAATGGAGTTGATCAAAATCGTTTTGCTCAAAGAGAAGCTGCTTTGAAAAAATTCTGCCAGAAAAGGAAAGAAAGATGCTTTGAGAAGAAGGTAACTGTAATGCACTGTTACCCTGGAAAATGTATGTTTGTTGAAGTATGGAAATGCATCTTACTTTTAACTCATAATATAATTTCAGAAATTATGACAATTGATGAAACCTTCCGCGCTGAACCTAAATATTTATCAGACATGAAGATGTCATCAATCACCTCGGATTTATGGAAAACTAGATTTTCCCTAACAGCGTTCAGCTTTGCAGGTATCGAATGGGACTATCCACCAGCATGATAATTCTTATGGTCACCTCACCTGAGTTGATTTACAAGTTTTAAGTGTTAATTTGTTGATTTTTCATTCTAATTTGCATTAGCTTCCGGAAGTCATTTTTTGAATTAAACATGGACAATGACGTCTCTCTAACATCAACGTTTCAGGTTCGATATCAGAGTAGAAAGAAACTGGCCAAGCAGAGACCAAGGCTTCGAGGACAGTTTGTACGACAGGCCTATGAAAACAAAAACAGTGACACAAATTGTTAACCTAACATCTTCCCTTAATCTGTGCAAAATTTTGCATATCAGATTAGCCCTAATGGGAAGTGAGCATTCAAACATAGTGATAAAAATATTACGTACTCTTTTATCAAAGACCAAATTCATTAAGAGGACTGGAGTCATCTTGAATTGTACGTTATTATCTGACCTATATGGCTACGGCCGAAACTATTAATTATTACTACTACACTACTACTAGTAGTACCATCCAGTATGGTCTGCCGTTGTTTGTTTAAAGACATGCATGCAAGAATGGGTACTTAAGAGACTGTTGTCTTATGAAGTTCATTTATTGTGCATTTCTTAACCTTTTTCTTATGAAATAAAGTTATGACAATTTTGTTAAACTTTATTATTAGTTTGGTAACTTATGATGTAATTTTGATAATCTTTTATACAATTTTGATAAAATTTTATAAAATTTTGTTAATCTTTTGATGTAAATTTAGTAACTTTCGAGTAAATTATTATATATTTTTTATAATCATTGATAAAATTTTATCATGGTATATTTAACAATAAATTCTCGTAGGAAAATGACTTCAGTTCTAGTGTAAGATTTTTCTTCTTTTTTATAATAACATTATTTTCATTCAAATTTAAAATTTTTCACTAATTTTTTTATTGAATAGTTCATTGTAGGTTTATTCAAGCCTTCCAAGATGAAATTTTTAGTTTTGTTTTTGTTAATAACCAAAGTTCAATTTTTGACAATTTCAAATATAAAAATATTTATCAATGATTGACAATTAAGTTATTATTAATTCACTATTATATTATAAGCATTTTACTACTAAGCTATCAATAAGATATTGCTAAAATATTAATGATTTATTACTAAGTTATGAATGATTTATTATGAAATTATCAATGATTTGTTATAAAGTTATAATTGATTTATTATTAATTTAACAATAATTTACTATAAAGTTATCAATGATTAATTAATTTATTACTAAATTATCATTGAATTACAACTCAGCTATTTTTAATTTACTATTAATTTATTATAAAACTATTAAATATTTATTAGTAAATTAACCATAATTTATTATTAAGTTATTACTGATTTATATTAAATTATCCATAATTTACTATTAAATTATTATTAATTAACTATTAAATTATTGATGATTAACTACTACTAAGTTATATTTACTTACTTTGTTTTTAAAGATTAACTACTAAATTATAATTTATTTACTATTAAGTTATTTATGGTTTACTACTAATTTTATCAATTAATTATTACTAAACTGAAATTGATGTACTATTAAGTTATTATTAATTTACTGTTAAGTTATTATTGATTTATTATTAAGTTATCAATAATTAATTATTAAGTTATCACTAGTTTTTTATTAACCTATTATTGATTTACTAATATTTTACGCATTTACAACTATGAAACATGGAATTTAAAAAGTCTACTACTAATATATGAGATAATTTTTTTTTGTATATATAGCTTTATTATTTTATTCAAATTTAGAATTTCTTTACTAATTATTTTATTAAATAGGTTCACGATAGGTTTATTTTAACCTCAAAATTAAAGTTTTGGTTTCGTTTCTACTAATAATTAGGGTTTAATCCCTAATAATTTCAAATATAAAAAAGTTATCAAATGTTTACTACTAGGCTATTAATATTTTACTACTAAATTATTAATGATTTACTATTAATTTATAAATAATTTGCCATTAAATTATAAAAGATTTACCCTTAAGTTATTAATGATTTCTATTAAATTGTTGGTGATTCATCAATAAGTTATTAATGATTTCTTATAATATTATAATTCATTTACTACTAATTTACTAATGATTTACTAAAAAGTTATTAATAATCGTCTAATTTATTATTAAATTATCACTGATTTACAATTAAATTACGAGCAATTTATTATTATGTTATCAATAATTTACTACTAAGTTATCAATTTACTACTAAACTAACAATTATTTATTATTATATATTTTTTATGTATTTACTATTATTTTATCACTGATTTACTATTTAATTTTTTATTATTTACGATAAAATTATCATTGATTTACCATTAAATTATCTATAGTTCACTACCAAGTTATTACTTATTTATATTAAATTATACATGATTTACTATTAAATTATCATTGATTAACTATTATATTATCAATAATTTACTTCTAAATTATACTGATTTACTTTTAAGTTTTCAGTAATAAATTATTAAATTATTAATTATTTATTACTAATTTATCATTAATTTATTATTAAATTATTTATAATTTACTACTATCAATTGATTATTATTAAACTGAAAATAATTTACAATTAAATTATTACTAATTTACTATTTAAGTTATTATTAATTTATTAATAAGTTAACAATAATTAGCTATTAATTTATGACTTTTTTTGTTAAGTTATATTTGATTTAATACTATGTTTTTATAAATTTAGAACTATATTATAATTGATTTACCATTAAGGTATTAAGCATTATTATTATTATATTATTATTGATTTACTAAAAAGTTATTAATTATTGACTACAAAATTATCATTATTTTACTATAAGTTATACTACACTAATTTAATACTAACTTATCAATAATTATTACTAAATTATACTGATTACATTTAAGTTTCAATAATTAATTAATAAGTTTTTTTTTTTAAGTTACACTTATAATTAAGTATTACATTCATATAATTAACTAATAAACTATAACTTCTAAACAATCAAACCCACACACAATGAGACTTGAACCTAGGATAAGGTTTTAGGGTCTCCACCTTGCTACTTAGTCAAGGCCTCATGGCAATTACTAAATTATTAATTATTTATTATTATGTCATCATTGATTTGTATATATACAAAAAGAAAGTAACTACAATGTATGTTAAATAATAGAATTTATAAGATAAAGAAAGAAAGAGTAAAAAATTCAAGTGTAAATGATTTAAAAAGCATGAGTAAATACTTTTTATTTATTATCCATAGTTTAACTTGTAATAATAAGTTAAAATTATAATTTTTTATACTAATACAAATATTAAAACTAAATTAGATAAAATATACAATAATATTAAGTCAATACTTCTAAGATATTTTTAAAATTTTGTAGTTCATGGTAAAATAGTACATATTAAGATACGTTTTATAGATGATTTGACTAAATTATTATTGTATGTATTTTTATACCTATTAGCAAAGTACAATTGCATATAAGAAAATTAAAAATTTTAAAGTATTCTATCACCAATGGAAATAATAAACTTTATCTAATATTTCTATCTTTAATTATATAAATTTGGACATACATTTTTTTATATATATGATAAAAGTACTAAGAATAAATTTACTAAATAAAATTTATAAAAATCAAACATACAATAAGTTTAAAAAATATCAAATTCACAATAATTATCTTTGCATTCTCCATAAAAAGTTCTACTAAATGGAAAGATGGTATATTTTTAATTATTACTTTATTCTTATCACCACCATTCAAAATGATTTTCTTTATATTTTGATACAAATCAACTCCTTCAATTGGAAAGAGTAAAGAATATTGTTTAACTTTATGTTGTTTTCCTGAATTAGGATTAACTATAATATCTCTTTCAAATAAAATGTTTGAATTATCATTAGTATCTCCATCACTTTGACACTTGAATTTTTTATTATGTTGTATTCTCAAACAATTTTGAAATTTATTACTAGTATCATAAAAGCATAGCTAAAATAACATGGATTAATCAACACAAACTTGAAACAATTTAAAACTCAAATTAAGTATAAATAAAATTTTTACTAATTTTAAATTTTAATTTAATTAAAAATAATATAATACATATAATTATAAAAATGAACTAATTTGACTCAATTTCAATTTATTTCAAAAAGTCAACAACTTAGTAATTATTTAAAACTCAAAATGATTAAATATAATCAAAATCCGAATTGAAATAATAACCTAACCAAAACCAATATTTTTTATTCATATTCTGTAACAATTTAAAAGTTCCTTATTTAAATTTTTTTCTCTTCGTTCTCAATGTCTTAGTTTTATTATTTTTTGGTCAAATTAATGATTGCTATTTTTTGTAATGCTTGCAAATACACGGTCATAATCAAGTAATAGTAGTGATGAAAGTAGGTATCATCCCACAAGAATTATAGAATTGAATTGTTGGGTGAATTTAAGTATCAAAGTTGATGAACTAATATCTTATATCTAAACGAATGAAAACTTAATTTGATTTGCAATTAAAGATAACAAAGAAAGAAAAGATTATATAGGTCTAGATCTATTTATTCAAGTGTCACTTGAAAAGTATTTTGATTTGGCTGAATGAACTAGAACTAAAAATCAAAGTTGCAACTTGAAAATAAGAAAGAATTGTGAAAACTGAATATAGGATTTCATAAAAGAAACAATTGTAACAAGAGTGCATGAAAAATTGAAACTTGTATTGTAAAATAATTATGGCCGAATATTGGTAAAGAAAAAAAGAACTTGAAATAAAAAATAGAAGAAAGCTTTGAAAGAATGCTTGTATTGAAATAAAAAGATTTAAGAAAACAAAAGCTCTTGTAATGGCTAATCTGTCATCTTAGCTTAATACAAAAAAAACTTAAAAAAAAAAACACTAAAAAACTTAAAACAAAGAAAGAAAAAGAATAGTATGGAATGGGATGTGAAACATAAAAAGTAGCCTCATATTAGGGGTATTTAGTGGTCTAAATGATATAATGGCCATTTTTTTTTGTTAAGAGCCCCTGACAGACAACCATGAGTATTTCAGACATTTGTGTTGACCTAACATGTCGGTCGACCTGACATACTCAGTGTCATATCAACTTGGTCATGTCATTATTATCCCCCATTGGCCCACTACTTTTCATCTATAAATATAAGTATTTAGACATTATCATCTTAAGTTCCATCTTGTCTTGATCCTTTATTTTTCTCTCATTTCAACCTCTTTTATTTTAATTTATGACTTATGAGTCGGAGTGCAAACGTAAAAAACGCTCCATGCCTTTGCATTTGGTCACTTTCTTTCAGCTTTTGTTTTTTCAAGAATGCCTCCACATCATAGCTCGACACAAACACCACTTTATTTATACATGGGAGTTTTAGCAATAGGGTTGCGATAAAGCTTTCATGTTCAATTCTATCTAAACATTAAAAAATGAGAGCTATCTTGATCTATTAGTGTTGGTTGAATATGAGATTTCTCAATCTTGGAGAATTTGGCCAATCATGCCTTTTTGAAACTCATCTTGGATGTTAATCTTACATGCCATGCATCTTGATCATGAAA